GAGATATTGTCCCATGATGGACATACATGTAAGAAACACTAGCTAGTCACGAAAGGGGCAAAGTAAACGCGCGGCAGAATAAACGAAAATCTACCCGTACGAGAAACCAGAGAGAAAGAAAGAGAGAGAGGGGGGGGGGGAGAGAGAGAGGAAAAGAGATGGAGAAAATATCACTATAGACGGTACGAGGATCAATACATCACAAACACGGTCACAACTATTCGTGCATACACGCGAGACTGCATCCCCCCTTTCAGTCCATACTCTGAGATAATTCCTCTGCACATTAATCATAATTATTTGTATCACTGAACGAGTCGATTTGCTTCGGATAGCACATCGACGTGATACATAAGATTACAAATATATTATATTTGTTGCTCGATACACAAAACAAATCAGAGATCACTTTTTTTCAAATTTATTTTAAGATTCATTTAATCGTGATTTTTATTACACTTGGTCCAATAGAAATTTCTCACATTGTTTGTGCGAAGTCATAAATTATAAACAAAAATCTCTTATTAAAGAGATACTTTCTTCTTATATTATATATTGATATCTAGAGAGGTAGAATCCTTAAACTACTTTGTTTGTTATCATCTTAGTTCTTAAATATTTTTGTTTGTTATGAAAACTATGAGAAACATTGTTTTCGTCCTAATCGTGTGATCAAAAGAAAATAATTAATTTTAAAGAAATTATATATATGTGGGCTGTTCCATCTGTCGTTTTTTCATTTTTATTATTAAAATCCTGCTTTTAATCGTATCACTCAAAAATTGATTTCCTAGTAAAAGAATATTGACCGTCCCTAAACAAATTCCAGCATTAAATCATTATAATCTTATAAAATATCATAAGAACTGGTAAATAATCCTATAATAGTTATTGTGATATACAAAATGAAAAAAATTGGAAGCACATGAACAAATAATTGTTATCTTCACATAAAATACATAATTAAAAATATAAGAACAAATGTATCTATAAAATAATATTAATAAATAATATTCTTATCGATAACTAAATTATTCAATGCCTATTTATCATATAATGATATTTTCTGGTTCCTTTTTTATTTCTTGAAAATATTAATTTTTTATGTTTGAAAACAGATAAGTATTTTTATAAATATATTTAAAAAATTATCTTTTCTTTCGAATTCTTTTTAATATTATTTAGCCTTTTATTGAAAAAATGAAAATAGTAATAATAATAAGACAAGCTAAAAACAGCTTCCAAGATGAGATTTATTTCCTTATGACGTTCACTAATTACTTAAGATTATGATAACAATCCTAGCCTGATCCCACAAGAGCAATATAGATATTCGCTTTCATTTCTTTTAAATCCCCAAGCTTATAAACCATTTGACAGAGATGTCTCTCACATATTATTATGAAAAAATAATATTATATATTTTATAAGTTGGTTTTCTTTTTCTCAATTTTAGTTTGAATTTTTCATTTTAATTCAAAACGTCGTTGTTATATTTTATATATATATATATACACACACACACACACAAATGCTTCTATATTATATTGTACTTTCAGTTAGAGATGTGCAATTTTGCGATATATTGCAATTTTCTTTTCTTGAATTGCAATGCGATATGTAACTGACTTTTAAATCGCATGATTTAAAATTACGCCTGCGATTAATATTCTACTTGTTTTTTAATTTTTTAAGCCATGCAAACGATTCGATTAATGCGCAATATAATTTTCTATTTCGTGAAAGTATTTTTTCTTTGAAAATATTCCGAATTTTATTTACGAATTTTTAATGGTATTGCATTACTAAAAAAAAACAATTGTTTTCGTATTTGCTGCGTTTTAATTAATATTTTTCATTATTTAAATCAGCTCTATGCCCTGATTCTGTAACTCTTAACTAACAGTAGTTCGGTATCATTATGTTGTCGTCAATTTTTTCTATGTATAATATTTGCGCGATAATGGTAATATAACTTTACCGAAACTACAGAATCGGGGTACTAAACTTACCAAAGATTTTTAATGTAACAAAAACGGGTAGTTGAATAAATGTATTATATATACACACACACACACACACACACA